CTGAGGATATCTAAGATTTAAAAGAGTATGCCAAATTTATATTATAGAAGAATACTTGATTTTTGCTCTTTATTAAAATATTATCATAACTCATATTAATTCAGTAAATTTTTAATTCACAAATTAAAGTAAATTTAAGTGATTATAAACTAATTAATTACGAGCAAAGAAATGATGTAATATGTTTTAAATTATATACAAGGATATAACATTATCTATAACTTATTATTATTTATAAATGCAGACATATAACTTATTAGCATAATTGAGAATTGAGAAACCTACATAAAAATCTAAATTCTTAAAGATTCTTCAAGATCATCAAATAATTGATTGTTCAAAAACATAAATTGATTTAGCTTGGGAACATTGTTAAACCAAAGAATATTAATAAGTTGTTTAAGATTTATTATCTAAAAGAGTTAGAAGTATCTCTTTAAAGCCTAAAGTATAATAAAAACTTCGAACACTTGTTTAAACATTTGATAAAATAGATGAATTACGTTTGATTAATGGAATTTATAAATAAAAAGTATATAGAAAAATTTGTTATGATAAAGAAATTTTGAAGTAAATTTAAGAATTAAGATTGGATGCAGAAAGAAAACTAAAAGATTTCATTAATGAAACAGCTTAAGATAAAAATTTTACATAAGTTTTCCAATAAAAGCTAATTGATTTTTAAGAAGAAAGAAATAAATTAAATGAGTAATAAGGTAAAGAGGGAAGTTAAAGAGCAAAAGACAGATTATTAAATAGATAGAAAATGAAATCTGCCAGATTAAATGAATCAATTTAATTTATATTAAAGAATGATGATAATAAAGATAGAGCTTAAACAATATGTAATAAATTACTTGATAATTAAATTCCTTATTATAAATCTCAATTGAGTGAAAAATAGTAAACAAGAATATAAAATATTATGAATACTAAGTTTTTATTTTGATTAAAATCATTCAATAATATGATCGCTTCCATTTTTTTATTTATTATAACCCTCATCAAAAGATGGATAATAATTTGATCCTAAGCTTTAATCAAAGCTTTATTAACTTCCCTTAATAGCTTAAATTTTAATATCTGGAATATTATCATTTGAGTTAATGATTTACATAGGTTTTGTATGTGGAAATGTTCTCACTATTTCATGAGGACTTTCTTCAGCGACTCCTTACTCTCCTTAAATCTAATTCAATAAATACCAATAAATTTTTCCATAAAAAAAGGATGTTACAGAGCTTAGTAAGCTGATATTCTTTTATTTGGATCTTTTTAAAGCATTTATTTAATCAAATCAATTGTTTCATCTGAACAATTTTTAAGATGATTATTCCATAAAAACTTTTTATTATTTTCTAAAATCTCTTCACTTGTATTTCCATTAAATAATGATTTCTTGCATAATAATTTATAAAATATTGTTCCTAAACTAAAAATATCAACTTTAGTAGTATAAGGATATTTTTCAATGAACATTTCTGGAGCTATATAACCAGGAGTTCCACATAATTATCTTAAAGGATTAGATGTATAAATTGCAAGGCCAAAATCAATAATCTTTAGAGATTCTACTTTTCCTTTTTCATTCAAAACTAAGTTTTCTAATTTCAAATCTCTATGTATTATATTATGTAGATCTAAATAGCATAATGCTTATAAACATCTCTATCATATGAATAAATTGATACACTTATTATCTATCTTATTTATGTAAGTGTTAATGAATGTTTTTTAAAAAACTAATGCAATGATTCACCCTATAATAATTCAAGAATGATATAGAATGACTTTTCACCTTCAAAAACATCAATCATTTTAACAATAGCTTCATGATCTAATCTTCTCATTAATTCAATCTCTTAAATCATTCGATTCTAAATCACATATATTAATACATATCTTTCTTTGTCTTCTCTCTTATAGATATAGTCTTTACGAATACATTTTGAAGCAAATTAACAATGTGTTAATTTATTAATAACTCTATATACTTTTGATGAAGCACCAGAACCTAATATTTCTTTACTATCATAAATGGTTGATATGTTTCCAAAGAATACTCTACCAAATAAGTTTTTATATAGATGTTATAAATCAGAACTGTTAGCATGAAACCATTTCAGAGTTTTATGATACTTTATACCAAATGCAACAAGTTAATCATATTCTGTCTTCCAATACATTTAACTTTCAAAATTTAGTTCAAGTAGATATTTTGAATATTGAAAATTGACTGTCTCTTTTAGACTGATGTTATCTTACCTCCGATATTTTTATGCAATCATCATCTAAAAGTAGATGATATATCTTATCCTTTATGAAATGTTTTCGTTTACATTACATCTAAAAGGAATTATTGCTTATCTCTTATTACATTGAAATGATAATAATTTTGTAATTTATATTTTTATAGCTATTGCACAATTATTTAAGAAATCATTCAATATATTTAGATTTTCTATTAAAATATATTGATCAACTGCAAATCATATTAATCTACCCATATAACCATAATTTATAATAATTAAAATCTTAATATAAATAAATTTCTGAAATAAAAATAAATAAAGGACATTATTATATTAAAAAATATTAATAATTTAAATCAGATGTAATTCAAAATATTCATTTTATCTATCAAAATCTCTTGAATTAATAAACTTTTTTACTTTTTAATATTCTAAATTTTAAGTCTTCTACATACACTAGCAACATTAATATTTATGACTATACAAATTAATTGTTTCAGTATTTTCAAAAGGATAGTAAAATCTAATTCAATTAAATAAATCTAGAATATTTAATTGTTCATCCATTATTACTTCCATTTAAATCAAGAAAAATTAATAAAAGTATTAATTAAAACCAATTTTTGGATTTTACATTATTCACAATATTAATCATTTGGAATTTATTATTTCTGATGTCATTTCTTTCCTTATTAATTTGCTTAATGTTCCATTTAACTTGCTTTAAAGATATCATCTGTTATTATTAGATAAGATTGAAAGTAAAAATAAGGACAAAAAGTATTTAATACCAAAATTGGTTTTTTTAATGAAATTTGTTTTATGTCAATATTAATACCTAATTTTAGGATATACTCTATTAGTAATAATAATACTAATATAATAATGATATCTAACAATTAAAATTTAATAATTCTTAATTTTTTTTAGAATATTAAAAATTCAATATTATATATTTTTTTATTTTATTAATGAAGATCATCATTTATTCAACCAACTAAATAACTTAATTAGTAATCTGCTTTCAATGATTGATCAATTACTGTTTTATTGTTTTTATGATATTCTTCAATATCAACCAATTTATCACCAACAACTTGATCATATCCAGTATTTTCTAAAGCTTTATAATTTGCAATCAATTTAGTTAGATTTATATATGATGGACAATATAATTGTTAACCAATGATACAATTATTAGTTGGGTGGATAACCTAAAAATATAATTTATATTATACTTTTTCAATAAATGATTGATTTAAATTAGCTTTATAAGTTGTTCCTAGACTATCCTCAATCAAATGAATAATTGATTTGAAATCAATATGTTTATGTCCTTTTGCTAAGAGTAATTTTCCTGCATGAGATCCTGCTAAGACTTAAGCAACAATCTATTCTAAATCACCTGTGAAAATTGGAGCACATGATTGTCCAGTACTTTAAAAGTAGATGCTTTCTCCATTATAAATTCTTTATGCTAATTTATTAGTAAATGTGCTTTGTGGTCCAAAGGTAATGTCAGATCTGATTCCAACTAATTAAGGAATAAAACGACGTCCTTCTACTTCTAAATGTTTCCATTCATCAATTTCTTCTTAATGATCATGTTCTACTGGTGCAACATATGCTACAGTCTTATAATTTCTATTTTTAACCAAATCTAAGGTAGCTACTAATAAATTCTTTTTAGATGCAGTTGTTTAGTAATAATCGTGACTCACATATAGAACATTATTGGCTTATTTTATTACATCATGTAAATCTTGACGATCTCCAATTTTGAACAATTCTATGTTTGCTGATAATGACTATTTAAATTTTAAGAGTCTTTGAACTGTAAAATAAGTTGGGAAGATGTCAGCACATATGATCTTCTCATATTTACCACTTTCAGCAGCAACTTTTAAGAATCCTTATGCAATTCTATTGCTAGCATTCAAAAGAAGGAGAGACATATTATTAAAATAATATATTTATTAATTAATATATATAAATTTATAAAGGTTCATAATTCTAATCTATATAAAGATCAATTAATAGATAATTAAGATTTATTTATATATATTATTCTTATCTATAATATTATTGGGATAAATAATGGAATGCATTTCTGATTCCAATTTAAAATTGTAAATATTTAAAATATTGTAATCAATTTTATATTTTAAATAATTAGAGAGAATTAAGTAATAATCTAGACAAAAAGAATTAAAAGATCAAATAAAAGTTTCTAAGGTTCTTCTTTTTTCAAAAGAATCCAAATAATTTTATTAGAAATCTTAAGCCCTATAAGAAAGAAGAGTCTGTATTGAATATGATAAAGATACCTAATAATAATGAACTAAAGTATGCTGCCACAAGAAAATTCATTTAAAAAAATTAATTAAATTACTTTATATATTGAGATTTTATGCTATTTGTTCCAATAAGTTAATTGCCTTTTTAATTGGTTTAATATCACATCTAAGTTGTGCATAATTATTGAGGCTGAAAAAAGTATAAAAAATAGATTCACAATCCTCTTGAATCTTTCTAATGCTTATAAAACGGTTAAGTGATATTATATCTTTGATATACTTAGTAGTGATAAGAGATTCTCAAATATCTTCAATAAGTAGAATTGTATGCAATTATCTTAGGGTTCTCTTCTAGCTTCTTTTTCTTTTGCATTTTCTTAAAAAAACTCTTAGATGATTTAGATAGAATTATACAAATGATTATTAATAATTTTATGATATAATTAATTAATCATTTAAATTTTCTTGCCAAAATAATTGCTCTAACAACTTATTTAAAAGATCTTTTTGGTTGTTTTAACAAACCAAAATTCTTTTTTTTCTAATAAATAATATTAATTATTATTACTTAACGATTGTATGATGATTAAAGTAATTCTGTGAAAGGTAGAAATTGTTTAATTTGAGATGGTTTGACTTCTAATTTAAATCTTTTGACATCTTCTATGTCTATAACATAATATTCCATATATTCTTAAAATACATTAGTATCATATTCAGTATCGATTTTAGGTTTAACAGAGTTACCTAATTAATATTTATGAAATTCTTTCAACACAACAGAAAGATTATTGTGAGGGTAGAATATATTATAATCACAACCAAATTCAAATTCATTCAATAAAACAAAATTTTTCTTAATTTCTAATTGTTGACTTCCATTATACTTATCCACTTCTTATTTAAATATTTAATAATCAGCCATTATATCTTCCATCTTTTATTATATAGTTCCACTATCACTTTCTTCTGAACTCTCATTTGGAGATTTAAATTAATTAATTGCAATATGATTAAGACTTGTTTAACCACTAGCATTAGATGATAAGATAGCTTAAGATAGACTTTTGGTAATACTAAATATTTCTGATTATTTAATTTAAATCTATTAAATCTTTTGGGCAGATTTCTTATAAGATTATTCCCAATTTCTTCTTCTATTCCTATCTTCTTTAAATTTAGATTTTAATTTAAATCCTTTTTTTATAGATTCATCTTCTACTGCCTAAGATAATTAATCATCCACATTACATTCTTCCATTAAGAATTTATGAGTTGGTATATTCATTTATAAATTTTTAGCTGCTTTTTCTAATTCTATTCTATTTTTCATAGCATTATAATTCATTCTATCTTTTCTTACAAAATCTTTCATTATAGCTTTAATACATCTTATTTTGGTCTTTTAATATATATCTAAATCAATCACAAAATGTAATGATGGACATTCTCTTATTACATGTCCTGGTAAATCACAAGCATAACAATGTATATCTAATATTTATAATTATCTTTTATTAACTTCTTCATTTATAAAATTAAATCTTTCTCTATCATCTGGAAACTTATCTAATAATGCTACAAAATCTTATCTTTTCAATACAAAAACATCTGTAAAACCATTACTTTTTGCAGATGCTGTTCTACCTATATTTCCAAAGAAACTTATTTCACCAAATATTTATTTATTACTTAATCTAGCCACAATTTATCTTGTTTTTATTAATACAATATTTATTTGACCTTCTTAAATAAAATATAGAATTTATTCATTCTTTGGTTCATCTTCAATAAATACATATTCATCTGGTTATATTGTTTATTCTTTTAATATTTATGTTAATTCAATAAGTAATTTCCTTGAAAATGTCTCACATAACAATTTATAACTAGCCAATATAGTTCCATTTACTTAAATTGTAAATTCATATTTTAAAGATAATGATAGATTTTAACAAATTGATTCTAAATTTACACTACGATGAGAATCCCAAATATATTATAAATATCTTCTTACTTTATTTTATAATTGTTTTTAAATCTTTACTTTAGCCATATATATATTTATTTCTGATATCCTCTTCTAATATTAATCTTATTTCTAACTTAATTATTGCATTGTATTACCAATAGTGTTCATAGTAAATGAAAACACACCACAAGCTATTAAAAGAAAGAATACTCCAAATAATCTTTCCAATGGTGTTTATGGAGATAAATCACCATAACCTACTGTAATCATTGTAGTTACAGCCCAATAAACAGAATTTACATATCTAATTTCCCAAGGTTCATCATACAATCCATATATTGAAAGCCAATTATATGAAGTATCTTCACTTTAACCAATAAAATGGAAAATACATCCTAACCAATGAGACCAAAATAAAACAAATGCACATAGTTTTAAAAAACTTCCTATTGTTTAAATTATTGAACTATCTGAAAAATATTCCTCTATTTTATCCATTATAGCCTTCAGTTTTGCCAATCTTAATAAACGAATTACTTTAACAAATCTAAAGAATTTTAACACTCTTAAAATTTAAGTACTCTTTTTTAAATTTTATGATGAATCATTCACTTCATCTCCTGCTTCTCCTGTTAATGCTGTATTAAATACCATATCATAAGGAAAAGATGCCACTACATCTATCCAAAACCATAATTTGAAATAATCAAATGCTATTGCCTTATAAGAATAATTGATATTCCCATTTATATATACTGCTGTATTAAATGTTAATAAAATATCAAATAGAAATGCTGCTGTTATTACATAACCAAACTCAGCACTTACTTCTATATCAAAACTTATTCTTATTGGTATTGTTATTATTTCATATAGAATTAAAATCATACAAAAGAAATCCCACACTATTTTTATAGTACTATCTGGACTTATTATTAACCAAAAATTTTCTATTTTCTTATTTCTCTTATTAATATCAATTCTTTAATTATCAGATTAAGAAGATTTTGATAATTCTTTCATTTTTTCATTACGTTCCCTTTCATCCAAATCAATATTATCAAAAGGTAGAAATACTTCATCAATATCTTATAATCTCTATTCTAATTTCATCCTTCCCATATAAATAGCTTTATCTCCAAATATAAATTTTTCTGATTCTGATAAATCTGTATTAACTTTACGATCCTATAGACAACGTTAAAAGAACTCTGATTTTCTTTATTCTTAATCACCTCTCTTACTCATAAGTGCTTAATCTTCATTGGCAGCACGAGCTGAATATTAATCAATCTCCATTAAAATTGAGTTCATTTACAATATTTATTAATTTTTTCATTAATTTTAACAATTAATATTCTTGTTTTAATCCATCTTAACTAAATATTATATATTCTTTGTAGCAATATCAAATTTATAAATTATCTAATTAGATTTGTCATATATTCATATGAAAAAGAAACTTATAAAAAATTCATTATATTTTTTCATAAATCATTATCTATAATCATTTTTTCTTTTTTCGTATAATACCCAACTCCCCTAATAAATACTCAATTTCTTTAATTTCATTTGTTATATGAACCTTATTAATAGCAAATGAGTAATTCTAAAGTCCTGCTGAAGATATCACAAGAAGCCTATTAAGAAAGTGTTTTAATAAACCTTTTAATTCAAAATTTTTATCTTCTACATAGTTTTAAAATGTAAAATTAAAAGTTTATACTTTTTCCATTTTTTCTCTCTTTGCCTCTTGAAGTTATTTTTCTAAATTAAGCAATTTATCATCATTTTTCATTATATATTCATTTTTCTTTTACTCTAATTTCTTTAATCTTGAGGCTTTCTCTTTATATTCATTTAATGCCTTCTTCTAAACTTCAACTAATTTCTATCCATCTATTAAACTAGGTATTATTTTGAATTTTAACAATTTAATAAGTCCTTTATCCTAGTCTTCATTGTATTTATCCAAGTATTTTTAATTTACTTCTTAAATGCACTTTGCAAGTTCATCAAGCATTTCAATTATAGATATTGTATTTTAGAATGGTTCCTTAGCTAGTCCACTTAGAAAGATTGCAAAATCATTATAAACACGATGTCTCTCCTGTTCAACTTTCAAAATTTTCTCGAATTGCATTCTTAAGTCATAACAAAATCTATCATCTCTACAAAGGCTTTGGTATATCTATTCTAATTGTGAATCAGATGTCTCTGTCTACATAATAAGACAATTAAAATGAAATAAAATATGAGTAGATCAATAAAATTCATAACTTATCCAGAAGGTTCCTTTGATAATTGCATTGAAAAAATTGTTATATTTGTTTGGCAAATGAGTTTTTTGTTGACCTAACCTGTACTGTATAAATAAAGCCTTGTGATTATTTAAAATAAAAAGAAAACGGATACTAAACGCGAATAATAATATTTTATAAATATTATTATCTTTTATAATATAGTATAAATTTTAAGTGAATAATAGTATTTATTAAGATAAATTTTAGTAATAAATAATTTATGAATATAATGTATTAATAAAAAATCAAGAATATTTTTATACTTAAATTTTTATTAATTGGATATTTATGAAGTTATTTTTTAAAAGAAGTATTTATTCTAATGATTTCATCATTTTTAATTTTTAAATTATTTATCTAAAGATTACTAAATTGATACAAAATTTATTTTAAGTATGAATGAATAAAATAATTTTCTTTTTAATTAAAGTTTTAACTTAATATATAGTTTATTTATATGAAGATAAATTTAGAGCTCTTTTTAAGATGAAAAATAAATTAATAATTGAATGAATTTGAAGCGGAAACAAATTAAATTGGAGTCAGAAAAAAAAAATAAATAAGAAGAGTATTCTATTGATGAGGATTCTTTCAATAGATCTAATGATGAAGAATTAAAGAGTAGTGAAAAGTTAAAAACAAGACATGATAATTCTTTATCTGTTTTAACAAAAAAATTTGTCGAACTTATCCAAAATTCAAATGATCTTAAAATTAATTTAAATATGGCTGTTAAAGTATTAGGTGTGTAAAAGAGAAGAATGTATGACATAACAAATGTTTTAGAAGGCATAGGTTTTATTGAAAAAATCTCAAAAAATACAATTAAATGGGTTGGTGCCACAGATGATCCACATATAGAAAATGAACTCTAATAGATTAAATAAGAATTAAAATTACTATAAAATGAAGAAATAACTTATGATTTTTATATTGAGCACTTATAAAAAAATTTATATGAGAAGTTTCAAACAGAACCTGAATTTGCTAAATATACATATCTAACATAAGAAGACTTTAAAGAGCTTTCAAAAACTTAATAAATTGAACATAAGGGTGAAGCCTTATTTATTATTACTGCCCCTAAAAGCACATTAGTAGAAACTGTATTAGATGATAATCCTGAATATCCTTATTAAGTCTATTTAAATAGTTCAAATGTACAAAATTAACATAATGAAATTTAAGTCTACATTTGTTAAGATGACAATTATCCAATCTAATATGATAAAAAGGAGAAATGACTTAATTAATTCAATTTATTATAAATTTTTGAAGAATTTCATAGAATTAAAATAAAACTAATAAATGTTTAATAACTACAAGAGAGATCTTAGATTAAACGTTTTTATAGTAGTATACCTTCTTATTAAATGTATGATCTTTAATTTTATAAATTAATTTTTCCATTATTGATTTCATAATATATAAAATGTAGTTACTTATTATTATTTTGAAAAATAAGATTTAAATCCTATAAAAACACTTGTAACTTTAAGAGAGAATAATATCATAGATTATAATACCTTATAATTTAAATCAATTACTTTTTATATTGGTTATTTTATAATATTAAAACAAGTAATTGAATAATTAGATCTATTCACATTTATAATCAAAATACAATCTTTATATATTATTTAACATTGAATGATATTATTTTATAATATTTTGCATAGATAAATTTCATCTACCCAAGATATTTTTGGTACCTCTTGCTGCTTTAAAGTCATCACAAGGATGTCTATAAAATGATATGATCTTCTTGCCCCATTAGAATTAGGATACCATGTAACCTTTCAAGTTAATATCATCTTTTGATCCAGGAATCCAATTATGAGTTTCTGTTAATTCTTCTAAATCTGCTTCTAATCCAGGATAGAAATCATAATCCTCATGAACTATGCATAAATTTGATTAGAATACTGACGTAATCATTTCTGTCTCCATATTACTCTAAATCAAGTAATGCCAAATGTTAATCCAAATAATAATTGCTCCAAACAGCACTATGGAATGTAAGCTCATTTTCTAAGTCTTCTAATTCTTTGCTTTAACTGGAAACAACTTGATGACAAATACGTTCAACATCAAATTCTTTATTAAGGAGAGTATCATGACCCTTTTATACTTTATCAACTAATCCTTCTGTAGTGATTTATTCTCTCCAATAATTCCAATCAATTTCCTATTATTTAATTAAGCTATTACTTAAGCTGCACCTGTGGTTGGTTTAGAATAGAAATTAAACAATGAACTTAATTATGATGCATAAAATCTGCTCTCTAAAGTATTGGCTTTAGCTGTAAGAGTTTATAACCATTTATTGATTCTATCTAAATTAGCACTTGGACGAGCTGCAACTGTCTTGCTTCTTGTTTGGTTGACAATTAATCTTCTCATATCCAAAATTAAATATTTAATATAATAGACATTTATATATTTTCTAGATTACATCCTTATTAAAAATGTCTTGATATATATATATATAGGTATTGAATTCATAAATAGAGTGTTCATTAAAGCTTATATAAATGATTTAGTTATTTTATGTTGTTAAAATAAAAATAAATAATTAAGAAAATCAGGATTAATGTAAATACATATATTATTCAATTTCACCAAATAAATCAAGTAATGAATGACGCATAGGTTTAAAACTATATTTAAAACCAATAAGATTTCTGTTTGGAGATAAATGATTAATATTAACCTTTTCTAATTTTTCAGGGAAATTTTTATAAGTATGAAATTTTTATAACTACTTCTTATATTCTTCAACAGACTAATCAAAAGAATATATATACATTTTTTTGTTTATCTGTTTTCATACGTTATTCAAGTTATTCTTCAATTGTTTATTTAAATACTGATCTAGTTAAATGCATTACTGGTATTTTTTTTTCAAAAAATTTTCTTTTTTTTTATCTTTCATGCAATTCTTTTACATTTTCAAACATATCAACATCATTTTAAAGTACTCCATTTTTAGTTATACATCTTTAAGGTCTATTTGGTGTTGACATTTCTACTTAAAATTCATAATCTTATAAAATTTAATCTGTCAATATATTAAAATCTAGAAGTGTATTTAATTTAATTTCTGTTTCATTACCTTATATTAATCCTAATTTAGACAATACCATATTATTCATAACTTAAGATTAATAATTAATTCTTTTTATATATGTTTTTACATATTCAATACCATGTTTACGTGCAGCACTATCATTAGATTCTTTAATAAAATTCATAGCTCTATCATGATATTCTTTAGCCAATCTTAATTCTCCTTATACATAATAAAGAACTCCAAAATAATCATAAATTGTTGCTTCGTTTTCAGTATCATTCATATACCATACATATTAAAGAGCTTTCTTTAAAAATATCTTGCTGAGATGATATTATTATTATAATTTGCATAAATCTCCCATTTGAATTAAAGCTTCAATTTTAAGTGCTTAATTGTTTTAAACGTCTGCCAAAACTCTAAGCACATTGTAAATATACAATCCATTAGCAAATTCTCTGTTAGATACATAAAGGTCTGCCAGTATATGAAGTGATTTACCAAATATATTCAGATCATAGGCAATACATTACTAAACTAATTTCTTTGTTACTACACTATTATAATAATAATTTACTATCTATAGCATCATCTAATTATCTATCATAAATCAGTTTTAGTAATTCTTTTTTCTATCCATTTAGTTATATAATAACAGAATTCTCTTCTAACAAAAGTTTTCGAGATGTAGATAGAACTTGATTATGTTTTGTATACAAGTATGGCAATTTTGGAACCTTACGAGAAGAAATACTCTAATTATTAAGTGTAGTTTCAATTTGTGATGTATTTGTAACTTATCTAGCTTTGGTTGATTTCATTGAGTTAATATAAATATAATCATTATACTAAATTCTTTCCAAACTTCTTTTTTGTTTTCCGTAATGTCTTCTGATTATCAACCTTAGAGCCCATCAAAACAAAATTAGAAGTTATCACTAGTTTATAGTAAAAAAAATTCATTTGTATCTTAAGATTAATCATTAGTCTAATTCATAAATAAATTTTATCAACCACAATCTTTTATTTATATATTAGATATCAATTATTTTCTTTTAATTAAATTGTTTTTAAGAATAGCACAGATTCTTTAGTTCTTTTTTCTTCAATTTTTTATTTCTTTCAATTATAACATATCTTTCTTCTTTTCTTTAGTTTTATACTCATCATATTATTCTTGTCTTATTTGTAATCATCTATATTCTGAGTTATTTCTTATATATATCATCAAAAGATTGTATTTCTTATTATATAAAAACCAATAAATTCCATAAATCAAATTTAATGATTTTCTTTATAACCTATTATCATACATATCTTTTTAATTTTGGAAAGTTAATTTTTAATTTACAAATTGCTAAGAGTTAAATTATACTTAGTTAACAAGATCTTTATGTTAAAAAATTGAGTTATTGTAATTATTATAACAAAGTTTTCATTTAATTATAACCCATTGATAAACAAGTTTTTACCTTTTTATGGATTGTTTATTATTGCTGGAATCTATGAATATTCTCTAAATAATATATATTGTCAAAAACAATATTTTTTTTCATCAAATTAAATACTAGCTTGAATTAATTCAAACCAGTATTTAATAATTCAATCTATTCATTTGATTAATCAAAATATTTTTAAAATAATGAGTTTCAGTGATAAGAATTATAATTTATTATTATCACATTAAATAGATTTATAAATAAAAAGAATATTAGTTAGAAATAAGAATGAAAAATAAATAATTACTTAAAAATATAAAAATGCATAGGCTAAAATGGAAAACAGATATACTGAGCCCCCTTAATAAAATTCTTAATATTTAGTAGAAAATGAATTAAAGTAAAATAGGACTATTAAAAGTAACAATAAAATAACATTTGATTACTTAAAACTTAGATACCAAGTTTCATGATTAGAAGATAAAAAAGAAGATTGAAATACATTATTATAGAAATGAGGCAAACATAAATCTTCTATGCAATTACTATATATAATATTAAGGAATCCATTGATAAATAATAATAAGAGAAAGAAGTAAGGAAATTAATAATAATTAAATTTGTATATTTTTCTTAAAAGACTTTTATATTTATAAAATTATTGTGAAAAATATAAATTATGTTATATTTAATAATTCAGGCAAGGTTATGTTTTGTGATCTATTCTAATATCAATATTCTTCATTATTATTGTTTGTTCTCTTAAGGAAGAATATTTATTACTCTTAATGAAGATTTTCATTAAACATTAATATATTTTCTATGTGTACTCGAATTCATGCATCCTATAACAGCAATGCAATGATGTATCTTAAATTGCGAGAGGAAGGCTGCGAGAAGAATTCTGCTAGAAAATTTTGTCGAAAACAATTCTGCAAAGTAGGGTCAAACTAAATTAGATTGATTAAACACAATCCTCTATTGGACCACCTGGACATAAAATATTGAAAATATTGCCAGACAGATTATTGGGAGAAAAAGGTTGGTAGCATGGTTTCCTTATGAAATATGATTTAGGAGTTGGTTATAAAGAATCAGCAGGTAACTTCTTCTATTGATATAGATTTAAATGAAAAATTTACACCTGCTGAAATGGCCATCCTTAAATAATATAATGAATATGAAAAAAAGAAAAATGCTGTATTACTTTAAAAGATGATGGCTGTAAAAAAGTATGCAGACTCTTTAAGACCTCCGAAATTAGATGTTTTTAGCAAAAGTTATTTATAAAGAGTAAAACAAATTTCATAAGAACTAAGAGAAAGTTAATAAAAACCTAAGAAATACTTCGAGTTTGGTGATATGAAATTTTATGCTCTTGTGGATTATTTCAGTAGATAAGGATCTAAATAAGATTTGATGCATATTAATTTCGATCCTATTGTCAAAGAAGACATAAAATTGAAATCAGAAAATACTCATAAAGTAAATACTGCTAGAACTTTTAGAAGGATGGGAACTATAAGTAATATAGAAAAAGAAGCTAATTTTATTATGGCTTTATAATAATAAGCTCCATTAGGAGAAGATTTAGAAAAAATAAAACAGAAACCTGAAGTACTATCTTTATTGAAATTGAATCATTAAAAAATTGATTTGGCTGAAGAATTTAATTCAACTTAATATTTATTTACTCCTACTAATGCTTAAACTTAATAAATAAATTCAGTTGAAGATGATGCTATGAAATCTTTTGTATAATAATTCTATTCAAAATAATATGATGAAAAATCTAATTTATTATTACCATTTAAAAGAAACATAAGAATGAGAACTTAAGCAAATAGTGATTCAAAGAAAACACCTAAAAAACCAACTAAAAAAATGAAAACTTAAAGCATTTCCTGATTATTTAAATAAATTTATACAAAAAATGTTATATTAAATATAAATATAAATTATTATCATATGTCTGTTTTATCTTTTTAGCCTTATTGATCACTTTCCTTACCAAATATATCTTGATTTTAATGTTATTTCTTAGGTTCATTAAACTATTCAAATTAATTATCCTCAATATTATTGCTGGCAATTTCCTATTAATTTTATTTTATAGATTAATTATTCTGATTTTCAATAATCTGATTTTAATATTATTATTATTATTATTACTTGATATATGCATTTTATTAAAATATAGTTTATTATTGTTAAATTTTAGAATTATTCAATATAGAATCCTACTTATTTGACAGCAACTCATCTTATCTAATTTGAGAATGTAATATTTAACTAGTATTTTATTAAACCTAATGTTCATCAAAATTTCTAAGCTAACTAATATTGCTATGTATTCCACTATGTTTTAAATTATCCAGCCATCTTATTCTTCTTCCATCTTCCCATTCAGATATAAATGTTTTATCAGATTCTGGTTCAGTTTATCCTTCCTTAATTTTACTTTTAATAGTTAGAGTAACAATTCCATTCAATTTACCCATTCTCCATTAACCTGCCAATTTTTTTCCATCTGGCCATTCTAATTCACCATAACCAGATTTGAAATCTTTTAAATAATGTCCAGTATATTTTCTCTTATCTAATATAAATCTAAATAATTAAATACCTGGCCATATGAACTCACCTTGACCTTCCATTTTGCCATCTACCCACTCTCCATCATAAATTCTTCCATCAGACCATTCATATCTTCCTGATCCATAAAATTAATCATTTTTAAATTAACCAGTATAGGTTTCTAATTTACCTGTTTTCTTATTCTTTCTATTACCCCAAGTAAAAGTTCCTTTCCCATTTTTTTTACCTAATTTGTACATTCCTTAATAAGTTGTTTCATCTGGCCATGTTTCAATTCCATTTCCATCAGGTAAACCGCATAAAAGATCACCTTCATATTTGAAACCATCTAATCTAGTAAACTTACCCTTTCCAGTTATTTCTCCCATTTTAAATTATCCTTTTGAATTATAGTTTGTTTAATACCACTGTAATATGAACCATCTTTGAATATTTTTCTACCTTCTCCTTCAGGAATTCCATCAATAACTTGACCTTCATAAACTTGGTGATCAATATAATATATTTTGCCTAAACCAAAAGGTTTTCCTTCAGCCCATTATCCTACATAAACATCTCCATTTAATAATTAATAACTAAAAATGAATATAATACTTTTATTACGGTGTATCAATATGAGGAATTCTTTTATAATTAGGAGATATAGATGCTTTAATTTCAAGTTTTTATAGTTTCGAAAGTTATTTTTTAACAATTGCAGGAAATTGATCAATGAATTCTTATTATGCTTAAAATGAAAGTGGTTAAAGGCCTTAAGGACAATTATCCTCAATCTCATATGATTTGAGTTGTATTGGATCAATATCTATAGTTTATTGTTCTTTTTCTTATTCCTATTCTTCCACTTCAATCTTATCAGCATTAGGTTGGAGATCAGTTTACTTCTATTAATTGGTCTAATGTTATGAATCTTCAGGATATGGATCCTCATCTATTTTCTGTTGACATGCACAAGTTTATCCCATTTTTTATTATAATATAACAATTAATTTAAAATAGTGTGTTATTTCTAAAAAAATAAAGTAATATTTAAATGATAATCTTTTAGATTTATCATATATATATATATATAGAAATGAATTAAAATTAATGTAAATTCTGAAATCAAGGCAATTTCCTTAAGGATTATTTAGAGTGCATAGAATCTAGATGAGCATCAATCAAAATTCCTTCTAAATCTTGTTTACACATACTTCTAGAGTATTTCTTAAATTTTGAATCTCTCAATTTCTCATTCAATTTATTAACAATCTAATTAAATACTTATCCACTAGTTTTTCTCATAGTGTTTTCTCCTATTTCTAATCCTTATTTCTTTTTATTCTAATCTAAATCAGAGATCAATTAGCCAATATTTTATGATAAAAATTAAACTCTTTAAATTCTTTTTTTAGAGTATTCTTCTCTCATAGTATCATATCCAACATGAGTAGATCTTTGAGATGTATCAGTTGAAGCAGGAATGGATGCTAATTTTCTATCACTAGCATATTAAAAGAAAGGAAGAGTTGATCTTAATCTTGAAGATTTATTTGCACTTTTATTTTAGATTTCTTATTTTGTTTTTGAATATCTTCTTCCTGAAACATTTGGTTTAATATTTGTATCATCTTCTTTAGTTAAGACTTGATCTAATCTTTTTTCAAATTGATGAACCATATGTAATCTTTCAATTTATTCAATTTCTCCTTGTACTCCATTTTTTCTGAAATTTGGATGAAGAAATTACTACCAACTTTTAAATTCTTTATTTCCTATATCTTCATTTTATTTCTATTCTGATTAAAAATTTTATTCATTATAATCTTTTTCAAACATTTTTGCTTAAAGTAATGCTTTCTTTTTTTCTTCAATTTATTTTAAAGAGAGTCCTTATAATTCATTTTTATAAAATCCCTTAACTTTCTAAAATACCAAATCTCTAGGTTCATAAAAGTCTTACAATAATTGAACTTTATTTTCATTTGTATTTTATTTAAAGAATTTCTTTTAACTTAATAAATTTTTAAATATTGAATTAGGTTCTAGCATTCTTAAATGACTAATAGTTAGATTAGGTTAAGACCTAATAAAATGTATTACTTTTAATGCAAAAGCCACTTTAAATTTAATAATTTCATGTTCATCTATTGTAATCGACCATTTGAGTGGAAGTACATGATTAACATTCAATGCACACATTAAATCAAAAGATGGATAATCAAATATCTTTAAAAAACCATCTTTAGATGTAGTAATTACTTTAGATTAACCTTCCTTTAATACATTATCACCTTCTAATGAAATAAAATCAATATGTTATAATCTTTTTTTATGAGCCTCAATTTATATTTCCACTTTTAGTTCATGATTAGTATTAACAACAAATCTTGTAACTTTATGATTATTGACACCTATATTATAGTCTTCCCAATTTTATCTAAAGGGATGAAATTATGCTTTCTGACATTTAGTATTGTTAAATTATAATTTACAAATAAATCCTCTTCTAGATCCTAAAAGGACAGTACCATTTTTATCAGTGAAAGCACAACAACTTTATGGAATAAATCCTAATTATTAATAAAAGTATTAATCTTCACTTTTGTCAAATTAGAGGAAATATGTATTAGACTTACATCCAATAATTATAATACGATAACCATCTAGAATATGTACACCTTTTGGAGCTGATTCAGTTCTAATTGTTGAGACTGGTTTAGTGAATTCCAAATTCCATAAACATACTATGTCAACACCAGCTGTAATAATTAAATCATGAAATAAAGAGACATAACAATAATCAATACCATTATGAACATTTTCAGCTTTTCTTAAAGATTCAAAATTCAAATTATTTTCCTTATAGATATGTAATTAACCATCCAATGATGATGTCGATATTATTCTATTTTAATAATCAATAGAGAGATGAGTAATTTTATTACTATTATTTTAGTATTCTTTGATAAGATCTCCAGAATATGTATCAAATATTTTAATAAGTCCCTTAGTTGTTCCAAGTACTATCTTTTTATGTTATTGAATTGCTTTGAATATTGACATATAATACGTTTAAATTGATTGATCATATCATCTGTTTGACCAATCATAGCTTTTATTATGGTATCAGTTTATCCATTAGATAAATTGATAATTCGAATATCTCTATTTGTTGAGACTATCAACTATTTTTTTATAGCATCCAATTCCACCTATTTAGGATATAAATGCAAAGTCCTCTACTTTTAAGGTTTAGGTTAAGATAAATTTTTATCGTGACCTTCAAAAGCCATTACTATTAATCGATTAGTAGCAAAACATACACTAGATAGATTTTACATTATAGTAATGTAATTTATAGATTGTCTCATTTCTAAATCAAAAGATTATATGCATTTCATAATTCTGATATCCCATAATTTTACAATTAATCGATCATCAGTTGTTATTACAATTGGAGATTTCTCTACACATTATATTGCAGTAACAATTGCAGTATGACCTTCCAATTAACCAACATAATCTCCATCATTATATTTTTTATGTAATTAATAGAGATTAACCTTAGTGTCAAAACCAGAAGTTATAATTAAGTGATATTCTTAAAAGAATACAATATTATTCAATCTACTATGATTAACTTATAATTTAAATAGTAATTTAGGTTTATTGTGTTCCCATAAATCCCACATTGTCAATTTATCTTAACAAGCTATACATACTAATTATAAATATGTTATTTCAATTATATTTACAACATTCTTAATTTGATCATGAGATATAACACTACTTTTTTCAGTTTCTAAATTCCATATTGATATCTTTGAATCAGCACCTATAGTCATCCATTTATTTTGAACATAGTAAATTCTATGTTGATCTACTTTTGTTGTAAAATATTTTTCCAATTCAAATTAATCACTCTAATCCATAAAACAAATCCATGCATCTTTAAATACTATACCAATTCTTTATTATTCTTCAGACCAATAAAAATCATGAATGATATTTCTCAATTATTATGCTTTAGGTCTTAATCTACTTTATAATGTACAATCAGGATTGTAGATACTAATAAAATCACTATATTAATGGAGTATTAGAATCTTTAATTCTGATTCCTAATATTACATTCTTAAAATAGAACTATTTTAATTTTTTTGAGAATCTATGTAAATTTTCTCTTTGTTGATTCTTTTTATATAATGACCCAAAGTTCCAAGAATTGTTGGTGCCTCTAAATCAATACTTCTTACTTATCTACTTTGTGGTTTATTAAATTATTTCAAAGGTGGATATTTATGATAAGTTATGGTTCTATTTTGTAAAGGGACATCCTTCTATCAAAATTAAATAGTATATTTACATCATCTAAATTTGGATTATATTTGCAAAGATAACTTGAAAGGTCTGAAAATTTGATAGTGTAAGTTTGATATTCTTCACAGATAGCCTTGAAGAAATCTATGGCTTATACAATAATGAATAAAGTATCTTCTATGGGTTCTGAAGTAAACTATTTTGAATGGTTGTAAATATACTTTCAATAGGGAAGTTATAAAATCAAATACATCAATTACAGATTTTTAAGATGCTGTAAAAATTGCTTCATAATCAAATAAATGTTTCTGAACTAAAGAATATATGTATGTCTCTGAATATTTTTCAGTCAACAGTTAACCATTATGATCCTTTTAATTTAAGTAATTTGCAACTATCACATCCAACTTCTATATAATTTCATCGTTGTTATTCATTTAATTTATTTTAATATATATAAATGAAGGGAATATTATTTCATTAAAAACAATTGAGCCGATGATGTATATGTAATCCATTCAAAAACACTTAAATTAATAGTAGATTATTCTCAGATTTAAGAGGAAGTATAAAACATCAAAATGATATTAATATTTTTAAATTTCTATGCTCAATAATTCTTTAGTTTCTCATCAATTTCAAAATTCACCCATTTAATATCCTTTACCTATTCCAACACCTGCCCAACCTATTTCTGCTAGATAAAAAATCCATGTCTCCAATTTACCTTTACATGTCACAACTTAATAATTGTAATAAACCTTTTAAACTTATGGAAATATTATTGATATCAGGATCATCAGAAAAACACCTACAGGTATAGGAATTAATTGACAAAAGGATTACCTTTACATATTTCATGTTATGCTTTTATTGCTTTTGCTGATAATGATGCAGCTGATAAGGCAATTCAAGATGGTATAATCGGTGATTGGACTGTGAAACCTTAAATTGATAAATAAGCTATTACTAAATGCAAATCTAGATCTCGATCCAGATCTTAAGAAAAAAACAAACAAGTATTAACTAATGGACCCATTACTCCTTTGGAGCCATCTCCAAAAATATAAATTCAACTATTTGTTAGAGAATTGTTTGTTAGTGGGATATCCAAAAATTATGATGAATTGAAAATACGCTAGGTAATAGAATGTGAAAATTATAGATTTTTTAATAATTTGGCCCTATAGAGAGGGTTGATCTGTATCCTAATAAGCATAATATATTTAACAGTTATATAAAATTTTTTACTGTATAAACTTTTTTTTTATTTGAATTTAGATAGATTAAGCTATTTCTGCCTATGAAGAAATGGATAGTATTTAATAATAATTTTCTACTTAAATAAAAATTTATTTTTCTGACCCTATAAAAAGACACAATATTGTTGGCAATAAGTAAATTTTATTAGATTTTTTTTAGTTTATCAAATGAGTAACATTCTAAACTTTCATCAGTATTATTTATATTCTTTCCTCCTAATTTAAATAAAAAAGTTGATCATGCGTTTTTGTTTGAAGTAATTTTTTTAATCATTTAACTAAAAGATATGTTAGAATCATTCATGCCCACCTCTCTTATGGAATTATATTCAACAAGATCCAAATTATAAATCATACACTCTTCTACAATTTAGAGATACAAAATAAGCTATCTAAATAAGAAACTATCTTTAATAACATTTAGTAGATCTTCTAGGTGATTCAAAATGTGAAGTAGGTATAGTATCACTACCAACAAAGCTCATATAATAATAATAATAACCTCCATAATATTAATAAATCTAAATGATTCCATAATAATAACCATTACCTAATAAAATGATGATGATGCCATAAGTTGCATAACCTTTTTAATGTAATTATTAACCACTTTTCATTCCATAATAAGTTATGTACCAATAACCAAAATAACAATTCATGATGCCTAAATAAGATTAAAGAATGTATCATCAATTTGTAGATCCATAATAGTTTAATCTTCCTTAATAAATTCAACCTCAAGAATAAGATATGAAAATTAAACTAAATCCCAATCAAAATGGGAATTAAGAGATTCTTGATGGATTTTTAAATTTTGATACTAATCAACAATAATAATAGCGATAAGATTGGGATACATTTTGGAGTGGATTTATGTTTAGAAGCAAGAGTCATAAGGTTGGAGTAGATGCCAAATGTTAAGAATCTGATGTATTGAATTTCTTAATATTAATTTAAGGCTCCTATTGTGATGTCACCACAAATATAAGTTAATTATAAGGGAAATTTTACTGATGCCAAAAAGTCAGCAAATGATGCTTTCAAATTCATTCTCTGTCCTTCAGATTTCACTTAGGTTTTAATTATAACAATATATTTAGAATAATGCATTTTAAGAATATATAGATTATTTTTCAGAAAAAAACAAGATTGGGGTTGCATACATTGGAAACAGTCTTTTATATTTGTTACCACCAAATGAAATTACAAATACTATCATGCCAATATAAGGATTAGAAATATTAGCTTTGTATATTGAAGATAAAAAAAAATTTATCAGTTCCAATTAAGATCATGTGTTATGACTTTTAAAAATTAATTTGTGAAATTTTCATTATCAAAATATTACGTAATAATTTATTAAATGAAAAATCTTATTTTCAAATCGATTGGGAAGTTCTCATAAGTTAAAAATAGTTAATACTTTGTACAATTAGAAAATTAATATGGATGTCATAATTATCATCCATTACCTATTGTAATTTCAAAAGGAAAAGGAATTTATGTATGGGATTAAGAAGGAAAGAAATATATGGACTTTTTAGCAGCATATTCAGCAGTTAATCAAGGTCATTGTCATGAGAAGATCTATTAAGAATTAATACAATAAGCTTCTTAATTAACTTTAACATCAAGAGCGTAAGATAATATATATCATATTAGATTTTATAACAATAAATTAGGAGAGGCTGAGAAATATATTACTCAATTATTTAAATATGATAAAGTGTTATTTATGAATTCTGGAGTTGAGGCAGGAGAATCAGCAATTAAATTTGCCAGAAGATGGGCATACAATATAAAAAAGGTTCCTGAAAATGAAGCTAGAGTTCTATTTGCAAATGGCAATTTTTGGGGTAGAACTATAGCAGCATGTGGTAGTAGTGATGATCCAGAAAGATATAATAAATTTGGACCTTTTGGTGGATTAAATTTTGATCTTGTAGATTATAACAAGTAATCAAAATTTTTCTATATAGTGTTGATGCTATTGAATCTAAATTTAAAGCTAATCCAAATTATGCTGCCATTTTCTTTGAAGCTATATAAGGTGAAAATGGAGTTATAATTCCTGATTAAAATTATTTGAAATAAGTAAGATCATTATGCAATAAATATAATGTTTTAATGATTGTGGATGAAATCTAAACAGGTTTAGGTAGAACTGGAAAAATGTTAGCAGTAGAACATGTATCAAATAAATTTAATAATTAAATAGGATAATGTCAGACCAGATATGGTATTATTGGGTAAAGCATTATCAGGAGGATTTTATCCTATTTCTGCAGTTCTAGCTGATGATTAGATTATGTTGTAAATTAAACCAGGTGAGCATGGATCTACTTATGGTGGTAATCCATTGGCAGCTAGTCTATGCATTAAAGCCTTAGAAGTTTTATAAGAAGAAAAAATGATTGAAAATTCTTATAGTCTAGGGAAAGTTATGGAAAAAAGATTAGTTCAATTAAAGAAATACAATAATGTAACTCAAATTAGAAATAGAGGATTAATGGGAGCCATTCAATTCTAAGATGGTAAAGGAGATGTTGCTTGGGATTTCTGTCTTAAATTAGCAAAAGAAGGACTTCTTTGCAAACCTACACATAAAACTATCATGAGGTATATATATTTTATATGATCACTTAGATTAACTCCACCTTTGATAATTAATGAAGCAGAACTTAATTCAGCTTTTGATACAATAGAGAAAGTATTATAGTCATTATGAATAATGAGTATATAAATGAAATAAATAATATTATTAAAGAGTTTAAAAAGAGTAATAATAATTCAAGTGTTAATTAGAGTCAATATTTTACTATATATTATTAATAATAAATACTTATGTAATAAGAAGAAAAAGGAAGATTTGAAATTAAGAAATGGTATCCTGTGGCATTTTGGTGTATATAAATATTTTAATATTAGCTTGGAGTTTGAAAGTAGAACATTGTGCTATATGTAAAAATCACATCATGGAAAAATGTATTGAATGTGAAGGAAAAGATTAAAAAGAGATATGCATTACATAATAAGGAAAATGTGGACATGCTTATCATGAACATTGTATAAGATAATGGCTTAAAACAAAAAATACTTGTCCTTTAGATAATAAATAATGGGAAGAGGAAAAAAAAACAAATTGAGCAAACTTGAAATATTAAATGAATCATTTTAGATATGTTGACTTCAATTTTGGTAAAAAAAAAGAATCATTATTTAATACTTTTCGAAGCGGTGTCTTTTTGAATGATTGTTGTTACTATACTTTTTGTTGATTATTTTCTTTTACTTATAATTCTAATGAAGATCTTTTGTGTTTCTTAGGTAATTTCTCTTTGCTTTCGAGAATTATTGAACTAAAATTAACCCAACCTGATTTTAAATCAAATTTTTATTAGTGTATTGATTCCATTTATCTTTGTGTATGCCGAATTTATTTCATATACACTTCTATTAATTATTAAAGTGAATTTTCTTTTTATGAAAATCCTAACACTTATTAATCATCATTTTAGTTTATCTCTATTGAAGATTTTTGTCTGGCTTTATGATTTTAAATAACTTTAACATTTTTTCTATGTTAATTAAGACTTTTGGGTTGAGGTGAGATAAAATCAACTTGCTTTGGAGACTAAGGTTCCCAATCTCTTTAAGTTATTGTGTCTTCTTCTCTTGCTAGTTTAAGTAAAGAGCTAACAGCTTTTTATTCGAGTTTGTTCATATTTTTGAGACTTATTTTATCAAATAAAATTTATCATTATGTTGACAATGTTAATTTTATTACATATATAATTCAATCAAGGTTTCTTTATAAATACAAACCATAATCAGACTTTAAATAAATTTATTTCTTTTACTTTTGATGAATATAAACTATATTATTGAATTTATAATTTTTCAACCAATTCATACTTTGAAAATAACTTAAATTGATCTTAAATGATAGAATTTTGTATGCGATAAATTAATTATAATTAAACATAATTAATGATTTTTTATTCAAATAATTTTTCATTTTTTTCAATGCCTTCAATTTAAAATAAACAAAATGATACTTGATATTTATACCAATTTATTCTTTAATTTCTAATTAAATCTTTATAAGTAATAGATTACTAAATTTTGTAGTTATCCTTAATTACATTAGTATTCTTATTATTTGTTATTTTGTAATTTAACTCNTTTAATATTAGCTTGGAGTTTGAAAGTAGAACATTGTGCTATATGTAAAAATCACATCATGGAAAAATGTATTGAATGTGAAGGAAAAGATTAAAAAGAGATATGCATTACATAATAAGGAAAATGTGGACATGCTTATCATGAACATTGTATAAGATAATGGCTTAAAACAAAAAATACTTGTCCTTTAGATAATAAATAATGGGAAGAGGAAAAAAAAACAAATTGAGCAAACTTGAAATATTAAATGAATCATTTTAGATATGTTGACTTCAATTTTGGTAAAAAAAAAGAATCATTATTTAATACTTTTCGAAGCGGTGTCTTTTTGAATGATTGTTGTTACTATACTTTTTGTTGATTATTTTCTTTTACTTATAATTCTAATGAAGATCTTTTGTGTTTCTTAGGTAATTTCTCTTTGCTTTCGAGAATTATTGAACTAAAATTAACCCAACCTGATTTTAAATCAAATTTTTATTAGTGTATTGATTCCATTTATCTTTGTGTATGCCGAATTTATTTCATATACACTTCTATTAATTATTAAAGTGAATTTTCTTTTTATGAAAATCCTAACACTTATTAATCATCATTTTAGTTTATCTCTATTGAAGATTTTTGTCTGGCTTTATGATTTTAAATAACTTTAACATTTTTTCTATGTTAATTAAGACTTTTGGGTTGAGGTGAGATAAAATCAACTTGCTTTGGAGACTAAGGTTCCCAATCTCTTTAAGTTATTGTGTCTTCTTCTCTTGCTAGTTTAAGTAAAGAGCTAACAGCTTTTTATTCGAGTTTGTTCATATTTTTGAGACTTATTTTATCAAATAAAATTTATCATTATGTTGACAATGTTAATTTTATTACATATATAATTCAATCAAGGTTTCTTTATAAATACAAACCATAATCAGACTTTAAATAAATTTATTTCTTTTACTTTTGATGAATATAAACTATATTATTGAATTTATAATTTTTCAACCAATTCATACTTTGAAAATAACTTAAATTGATCTTAAATGATAGAATTTTGTATGCGATAAATTAATTATAATTAAACATAATTAATGATTTTTTATTCAAATAATTTTTCATTTTTTTCAATGCCTTCAATTTAAAATAAACAAAATGATACTTGATATTTATACCAATTTATTCTTTAATTTCTAATTAAATCTTTATAAGTAATAGATTACTAAATTTTGTAGTTATCCTTAATTACATTAGTATTCTTATTATTTGTTATTTTGTAATTTAACTCTAGGTATTTATGGATTTTTAGGGATAATATTTAGCCTAACTAAAGGTATTATTTATTATCTGTAATCTAATTGATATGTAATTTGAGAAAAATTTAGTTTTAAATTTTTGAATAACTATAGATATTTGAAATAAAATCAAATTGAGGAATAAATAATAATACACATGTTTTCTTATAATCATTTTTGCCAAGAATTCTTTTCTATTAATCTCTATTCTAATTATTTAATTTTCTCAATCTTATAATATAGATAAATAATTACATATGATTTAATTTGAGATTCTTGACTTGATATTATCTTGCTAGTCTATTCTTCTACTAATAGTCTATTTCTTCTTTCTTCTGCTAAAAGCTTTTCAAGATTGAGACCAGATGCATCAAATATTTAGGATGATGAACTATTGCTTTTTATTAATTGTGGATATTCCATTTCAGATTTCTTTTTTTATTTATTTATTTCTATAACTTTTTCACAATTAGATGTCAATACTTTTTACCATTAAGATAATATCTATTGAGATAATTAATTAACCTTTATGGTATTGATTTATTGACTAATCCATTTAAGATTATTAAAAATTTTATTTAATTCTTAATCATCTCTATCCTTAATTTAAGAACTGATATTATCAAAATCTGCACTTTTATTTTAACAGATAAGATTGGAAATTTTTGATTAAAATGATTCCTTATTAATTAGATTAGATTTCTTTTTAGGTTTTTATGTTTGACTACTTAAATGATATTTAGTTGTAAATGGTAGAGATGGATTTTAATTATTTGGTGTTACAGCTCTTTGTGTTGCTGCTTCAAAATGTGTTTATGAATTCTTCTGTTTTTGACTTTTGCTATTTGACTCTCTGTTCTTTACAGAAATAATAGAAGCAAATAGAGAATTCTAACTAGAGAATAATCCAACTGGAAGTGAATGACGTATTGGTAAAATGAGTTTACCATATCTTTCTGAACTTTTTGGAATGTTATGATTTTTCATGTATTCTTTTATAAGTTGAAATAAAAAAAAAATAATCCTTAAGAATATTAATTATAATTATAAATTATTATCTATAAAGTAATATAAAATATTTATTTTTAAGTATATATTTATATAAATGTAATGATTCATCAATCCCATTTAAGCAAATCTGCATGACCTCTATAATTAATTAATAAATAAATTTACATATGTTCTGTTCTTATTTTCTTTGGGTAATTGATTTATTCTGTCAATTAAGGAGTTGTTTATTTTGGTACATATTTATTTGTTTTATTAATTGATCTAACAAAATCTGTATATGATGGATCAACTTGATGAATCATATTTTCTAAATTGGGATTCCATCTGATTTTTAAATTAGTTTGTAATTGAGATTTCAATTAAGTTCCTGTGATTTCACCCTTTTCAAACTAATGATAATAGTTTTGCAATTTATGTAATTTTGTTTGCTATTGCTCAGTAGACATTATTAAAAATTTATTCGTTAAATTTAATAATAACTCATCAAAATTTTTCATAAGTACTTATTAATATCAACAATTTTCAATTTCAAACAAGGATAGATATGTTTGATTTTTTCATATCTAGATTTTTCAATTATCCTACAAATAGTTGAATTTTCAACTTCAACTTCATATTCTTAACCTTTACCTTAGACCTATAAATATCAAATAAATCATATTTTTATATACCTTTCTCTACTCAAATGAAAATATAGTCTATCCAGATCTATACTTAACTTTATATGCAATTATATCATGAAGAATTAGTTTCTGAGATAAAATTATTGTATATAAAAAGTAAATCATAAGGACTAAAACTCAGTTAACTAAATAATCTATTTGATAAATCATTCAAATCCAAAATCTCTTATAATCTTTCTTCTAACTAATTCCAAAGATTCTTTAATTGAAGTGATTTTTCTAATTCTTAAAGTTCTTGTACAAGTTTATGAATATTAAAATTTTTATATCAATTAATTAATCTTTTTACAATTTTATATTTTTTTTAATATTCTTTTTTTCTCGATTCATGTCTGAAAGATCTAATGTATCAACACTTGATATCTTACCTATTATTATAATTTTTCTTATCATTAAAATCTTATTATACTTAATCAAAGCTCAATTAAACAGTTTTCTATTTATATTCTTATTTTCTTTATATTTTAATAACTATTTCTTTTAAAGATCTTAAACATAAATTTTCTCTTATCATTTTAAATTCCTCTCTTATTACTAAACCAATAGTTTTCTATTTAATTCTTTTTCCAATATATCCTAATTAGATTACCCAAAACTTTCTTTTGAATAGATAATCTATGACTTACATTCATATTAGTAGTATCTTATCTAAGAGATAGAATTGCCTCCTCCTTTTTCAATTTCTCAAATTCATTGATATTTAAGCACTTGTAAATTTATAATTTTATAAGAGAATATATTAATAGAAATTTAAATAATATGCTACTTAAAATAAATTAAGTTTTATCAAAACTATATATATTAAAGAATAGCAGTTAATTCAAACAAATCAAATGGTTTTGTAATGAAATAATCGATTCCAGAATTAAAGCAAATCAGCTTCAAATCCATATCACAATAACTAGCCATGGCAATAATGAAGCCTTTGTCTACTTATAAAGATTTAAATAGTTGTTTGATTTCTTTGATCAAATCTACTGCTGATTACTATATATATATAAATGTATACAGGTAATGAGGCATCAATGAAGTATAATAAATAAGCTCCATTTTTGCATCTACAGGGATTTAGAGACTTATTTCTAATCAACTAAAGAGTTTATTACTATGTAAATGCTTTATCAGCTTTAACTTCATATTTATTGAGTAGAATTTAGAGAACTGAAACATTCAAATAATCATTATCTGCAATAATCACTTTAGAACAACATTAATTAGTTAATTTGAACTTAATTACAGAATGTAAAAGTTTTGGACTTAATTCCTGGAAATCAATATTGGGATTAGTACTTTCTCCAAAATCTAAAGCACTAGTCATAGGTTTAGAAGATTCATTGATAGCTGAGTCACTTTTTATTGCTTTTGAAGGATTATTATTATTTAAACTTTTAGGAAATATAGATTCTTATATTTTATTAGTTCCACCTGAATTGATTTGGGCTTAAGAACCTATAGGCTTAATTTTTGGAGATTCTTATTTGATTTTTGATATTTGTGAAAAATGAGCACTCTATAAATCAAATGGAATATCTGGTTTAAGTGAGTACTATTTTGAAATCTATGTAAAGGACATATATTTAGATTCTTCATATTTATAATGAGAACTATCTTATGCTTATGCTAATAACATAGATAATGATGTTTCAAATGCACGTTTAGGTTTGATTTATTAATTATAATTAGCATGTTTACCATTGATTTGAAGTGATTCTACAGTAAAAGTGAAAGTGCCTTAAAAATGATTATCAAAACTTAATTCTAAAGGTTTTCGTAGAGAACCAGAAAGTTAGAATGCTAGAATTGCAGATATTTACAATTCCAATAAATTACTCATATCAAAATCTTTACAATTAGTTTTCATTAATTATGTTATATTTTTAAGTATAGTTTGATATTAAATCTTTTAGTTTTCTTCTTTAAAAGGTATATCTTTGATTTAAAATTGATAATTATTTGGTGATACCTAATGAATATCTATTCTAATTTTAGAAGTTACAGTAAATTTAATAGCTATTTCAAAAAGACATTTTAAAACTTATTTAGTCTAAATAATAAATATATAAATGTACTCGATCTGAATCATTATAAACAATCATATCATTATCTATTATTTAAACTATTGAGATTTCCTTAATTTTTAAACAATCTTCATAAATGAGTTATAGTTCATCTAATATATCAGAAAGTTTGAAAGTAGAGTTTCTAAAAGTTAATTGATTTGTGAGTTGTAGAGATAAGTCTTTCATAGTTCCCAAAAATATCATAAACTTTTATGTGCTCATTTTCATTTGTTTTAAATATTCTTTTTATATTTTACCTGAGTTTTTTTCATGATCATGAGAACATAGAAGAAGTAATAAATGAATAGCATTAATATAATTATTGGATTCAGAAAGAAAAGTTTAGAAAACATTTTAAAATTAAAGCGGTTCATCTAATACTCTTTTTGAAGACACTTTTTGTATTGCTTCAAACATAAATAATGTATAAAGTTTTGATTTCACTTCAGTTATTAAAACTTTAATACTAATATTCTTAAAATCGAGTTCATTGCTTTTTATTTTGAAAAGTGTAAAAGTAAAAAATTTCCATCTAAATTAAATATATTTAGATACATACTTTTAATAATTATTAAATAAAGCTGCTACCATTTATCTTATTTTTTATAATCCACCTTTAATTTTATATCTACTGTGTACAGTACTATCTAATATTAAGGAACTAATATTAAATAATAATATATTTATAATACTCTTCTTAATCTATATCTAATTCTGAATTTCCAAATAAATCATTAACTTCTCTACTTCCTATTTCTATTATAGATTCTAAAAAGATTTACTCATAATCCTAATCTTAATCAACACCTGTACATTGACGATTTGTAAGTTTCCCTAAATAAAAGTTTTAGTATGTAATTTCAAAATTTTAATTATAAACTAATATAGATTAATTATGAATCCATGCCCTAAAAAAGATAAATTAAAATATATACATTTGAGCAAGAACATCTTCTTCTTCATTACATTGCATTTCTAAAATCATTGGACTATTTTATTAATCAGGACATTCTAAACCAGGAGATTTTAGACAATTATCTTAGATTTATAATTTAGAAGATTATTAATCAAATTAATTTGACTTTTATTTACAATTAACAAACTTAGATTATTGCAGTTGAGTGCTACTATTTTCTTTTTCTTAAAAGTGTTTCCAATTATCATAAAAAACTACACCTAAAATCACTATCATATAAGGAATTGTTATGTAAAATCCATAAATATTTGGTTGTAAAATAGAATTAATTGAAGATCCAATTCCAATTATTACTTTAATAAACATGTCAAGTTCAGTGAGTAAAATTAGTTAAGCACATATTTACTATTATGTACAACTTTGAGATAGTTAAGCATATATAGTAATCCATTTTAAATATAACATTAAATGAGCTAATTTTTGAATGTTGAAATATTGATGATAATGTAAGTATTGATTAAATAGCATTATACAGATACTAATTGAAAGTAGTAAATTCTGATAGATGGAGAATGATGGATTTATTAGAGTAATGAGTATTAAGAAATTTATTCCAAATTATTTCATTTATAAAATGATTACTAATTTTGTTCGTAATATAATATAGTTTGGAGGTAATTCAACATTTGAAAAAGCTAGATTGTCAGCTACTTATAAAGGTGACTATTATTATCCAAATGAAAGTGACATTCAAGGTATTTGTTAAAATATGACTAGCAATTCTACTTACACTCTCAGGTAAAGATCCTGATACTAGTCAATAAATTGGAATAACAACAATCTTTACCAAATTAGAATCATCAGAATCTAAAATCTATTGGAATTATATCATTAAAAATTTAATAATCCTAGACAGATGTGTTGAGAATAGGTTTTTGGTTACAGAAATAGCAAATATGAATATAACTTATGTAGAAAATTATGTTGAACAAGATCTAAAATATAGTAACGCTTTTATTAAAAAATTAGAAAGTCTATCAATGGATTCCTTTGTTAGAAATTATTATATGTATTTGAAAAGGAAAGCTGCCCTTTATTCAATCAAAAATTCAAGCTTCAATATTCCAAAAGAGGAAAAGAAGAATTATTTTAAATAATAATCAGCTGAAAATATTCTTGAAGAATTTAATAGAGGATAACTATTATTCGATTAAATAATTGATGTAAGATTCATATTTAATATTATAAGATATCTATTCATGATAAATATGGGTTATTAAAATATACATTAAATTAATATGTCTATTAATTGTTATTATTTACACTACTAAATTTATATTATAATTCACACATTATAATTGTAATTCTAATTGATAGATTAATCAAAATGACAATTAAGGAGGCAAAACTATTTAAAGATATATATAATAATTTTCTTAAATATAACAAAGTCCTAGTAAACTTCATTAATACAAGACTTTATATTAAAGGATTTTCTGATATCAATACAAATGAGATAGCTAGAATTGATTCTAGAATAATAGGATCTATAGATAAATTTATTAAAATTGCTGAGGAATCTTAGAATTCAAATGAATTAACTAAAGAAATGTAAATTTAAGTTGATTTAATTGATGATGAATTAATATTCAATCAAGTTTAAGTAATGAGAAATACTATTAGTTAAAAAGATTATTAAACCGAAGAAAATATAGGTATAAATACTATTTAATATTTCCAATAATAGGTCAAAAATTTAGTACGTATCAAAAGGTTGTTTAAAAGTCTATCACTTTTGAATCTAAATTAAATGATTATTAATTAAAAAATATTAATAAATATCCAAATGGATTTGATACTAATATATTCAAAGAGGATGAATTTAAAAGCTATACAAATAATTATTCAACTTAATATAATGTAATAGATCAAAAATTATTTAAAATAACGTAAAATCAGCATAAAAGAGAATCAAGTTCACCTCAAACTAGTTTAGAATCTAAATGTCATGATGATAGAATAACAATAGAATTTATTTCACCTATCAATGATTTTGATGAAAATATCTTTTTATTAATTTAAAATGTTTATTGTTAAGTAGTACCAAAAATAATAGAAAATATTGAAGAATTTCAGTATGCTAATTTGGATGATTTTCCTGATTATAAAGATGATGAAGAAAATTATTGATAATATATATATATTTTATAATTTAATATGAATTAATTTTTATTATTATTATAAATCTAAAATGACCTGATCTAAACTTAGAAATTATCTTATAATAAATTATAATAATTAAATAACAAAATTCTTAATTAACTTAATATTTATATTGATATAATATATATAATCACATACATTTATTAATTTTGATACCCTGTAATAAAGGTTTATGTTGCTCCTATTTAACCTTCTTTTGAATTGGAGGATCTTTTGGTGTCTATGCATCTTATTCTATTATGGGCATCCTGCCTTAAGGATATAATAAATCACATTATAAAGATTCTTGCTTGGAAGTATTAGTGTTTCAATGCTTCTTTGGCAGTAATTCTCTTTGCTGGATTCAGAGTCAGCATTCTATCTACAAGATCAATTAGTTAAGGCATGGAATTTGAATAAGCGTGCAAGTACTTTCGTAATGTTCTTTCCTTTGGTTCATTTATAAATTCATGGTAATGTGGAAGTGAACTCACATCTGACCAATCACCATAAAAGAAAAAATAAAATTCAAACCTTCCGTAGGAGTTCCACAAAGATCAATTATTTTTTAAAAACATTGAGATTCAGATTTTGCCAACATAAAGGGACTTTGTTTTACAATTAACTCAAGAAAGAGGATGCCAGCTGACCACACATCAACCGAACAATCATATTGCTATTCTTGTTAAATACGAAGCAAAATACACCGCCTAAATAGATTTCAGGAGCTCTATATTGGGGTACCAATATTCGCTTAGTTTATGGTCTCTTTTTTGAATATTCATTGGCCATTCCAAAATCGCAGATCTTTACTTATCCCTTGCCATTGTATAATATGTTATTAGCTTTAAAATATAGTTGTGGATACGCTTCAAATCCCGATGGTATATATTCCTAGAATGCAAATAAGAAAGAGCTTCAAGTATTTAATACATCAAATATCGAACTTAATCTAAACTAAAACCTATTCGTCTCTACAAAAGATTATGTAAGTCTGTATCCATGTATTCCAGGACTAAATAAGTGCTCTCTACCATAATTACTGCTTTTTCCTTACTAGATTATATGACAACTTCTTGAAAACTCACTATATTTTCATGTTTGATTGATGAAAGTAAATGAATTTCTCTCATTGCAGTACGTGGAAACTAATTACTTAAACACATTTTACTCCATTGGCCTCTTTCTCTTATTTTATTTTTTTTAAGGCAACAATTTACTTATTCAATTTGTTTTAAGCCTTAAAGACCTATCTACTTAATAGAGAATTAAATCACCCATATTTTCCTTATCCTACAGGCCGTTAAATAATGTAGGTCTCGCCTAGATCTTATGCAGGCAACTGACTAGTTGTTGTTCTGCATATTTATACACCCAAATTTCCCAACATAATATTTTGGGAATTTATTAATATATAATAAAATTTCATTTCTTAAGCATGAATTTTGTTAATTCTTATAGAAATACAATATTTATATATATAATTCATTATTTAAACTTAATCTTTGAAATTACTTAATCAATAAATAATTATTCACTTCATCAATTATAAAATAATATAAGTTAATTTAATTTATTCATTGATTAAGTAATTTAAAAGATTGAAAATCATTCAAAAATTACTGCAACAATAGAAAATAAAATAATAAAGAAAAAATTAAAGAATGGTATGTAAATTTCCAAAGATTGTATTCTATTTTTTTGGAAATCTTCGATTTAATATTGATACAAAAATTAGTTAATCATATATCTTGAGATTATAACAATCATATATTAATTTATAATATAATAAGATGTAATATAAGTAAGGAAAGAAAAGAAAGTTATAAATAATAACTATTTTATTAGTTAGAAAGTAGTTGAAGTCTATAAATTAAAAATAATTATTTTTTATTATTCATCTTTTTATTTTAACTATCATTAACCTTGTATTAATAACAAATTTGAATCCATTTTTTAATTTTAGTGAATTTTTTTATTATAGATCATTTGATATATAATGGAATAAATCTTTATATTTAATTATTATCATCATTTGGGTTTTTAATGAATTAATATTATTACTAGAAATCAATTGTTTAATAATAATCTTTTGTGATAAAAGAAAATTTAAAATTTATAATATTAAGTAGATTGTTAAATACAAGGAATTTTTAATAAAAAAGAAGAAAATTTAAAGATATGTCAGATTGTTCTAGATTGCTAAAATTAAATGGTTTTCTCTTTGGTTGTGCTATCTTCTTCCTGATCTTAAATCTTTTTATAATTTAACTCTCTTAATCAAACTCTTTAAACATACCTGTCAGAATGAAATGATATTTTTTTTTAAATAATTTAATTAAATTTGATCCCATTAAAATTTCATGATTCTAATAGAATATTAGCACAAATATACTATAAATATCTGAGAATTATTAAATTGATTTAAGTAAGTTTATTAGAATAAATTTAATGGAATCTGAAAATAATGCAAGATAGAAAGAAATCAAAGTTTTTTTTAATGGAAATAAAATATTTTTCGTCTCACATGGATTAGAGATTGAATTATATTTAGATTTGAATAATGTTTTATTTTGGGTCCAAGTTAGAATAGTTAAAAATCCTTGAAAATATAAATTTAACTATGTTAGACTATAATATTTGGATAATATTATATATCAAAATAGATTTTTCATTATATATTTGTGTATCACATAAAAAGAGTAAATATTATAAAATAAATACATGTTGTTAATTATTCAAAATAAAAAAAATACAAATTTTAATTCATATTTTTCTTTAAAAGATTCAAATAAAAATAAAATTTTTATATTTGTTTTATATGTAATATTTAAGTTTAATTAATTTATACTATTCTAAATTTACAAAAAAAATAATGTAAGTTGACCATTATATAAAGAATAAGTTAAATAATTTAATGATATTACTTAATATAGTTGTTAAATGAAAAAGGTATTATATTCTTGGACACTCAAATTAAAAAATTCTTGGTTTAATAAATATTAACTTAAATTTAATGAATATTAGTTTCTATCATTTATTTCTATTGAGTTTCTTGTTATCAATTCACTGTCAAATAGATAAAAATGATGTCTGTAAATGTTCAGATTTACAATCATAAAATGAGTGTAAATAAAATGATAAATGTTAATGGTCCAAAGATTAATAGTCCAAAGATATTTGTAAAGATAAAGAGGAAAGTTTACCTATTTCGACTGAACCAGAGAGTTTGTATTGCAAAGATTTAATATAAGAGGCTTGTATTAACAGAAGAGGTTGTGCATACTATAATAAAAATTGTATTCATTTTAGTGGGTGCACTAGCTTTATTTATACTACTCATAATGAATGTTAATTAGTTAGTACATAATGTACAAGTGATGGAACATAATGCATAATACCAAGGGAATGTTTTAAAAATTAAAATGAATAATTGTGTAGCACAGTAATAAGTTCATCTGGATCAAAGAAATGTATTTGGGAAAACAATGTTTGTAGAGATTAAAAATGTGATGAAGCTCCAGAGTCTATGATTACTGATGAGGCTTGTAATTCTTTTATTGAAGGATGTGTTACAAGTGGGAAAGGATGTGTAACTCAAAGAAGGAATTGTTATTATTATGATAAAAATTGTGATGGTATGATTGGAAGTGATGGATTATGTGAATCAAAAAATGATAAATGTTAATATAAGGATTGTGCTAATGCTCCATTGACATATTATACAGATCATTAATGTAAATCTTTTAGAGATGGATGCAGAACAACAGGTATTGGATGTACAGATTAAGCATTGAAATCATGTACTACTTATACAGGTGATAGTGAATAGTGTTTAAGATATATAGGAAGTAGTGGGAAATGTGAAGAAGGATAAAAGGGTAAATGTTAAGCTAGGAAATGTGAAAATGCACCAAAATAATATTCTACAGATGAAGAGTGTAAATCATATTCTTCTAAATGTAAAACTACTGGAATAGGTTGTGTTACTATTCTATTGAATTGTCATTCTTATACTGGAATTAAATCTGAATGTGAAAAAAGAATAGGAGCAGATGGAAGATGTACAGGTTCTAATCAAGAGGAGTAACAATAATGTAAGGCTAGGATTTGTTCTGAAGGTCAATTTTCAACTGATAGTGAATGTAGATAATATTAATATAATTGTATTACTAATGGTATTGAATGTACATCATTTTTGATAAGTTGTAATAAATATAAAGGGGAGGCTGAAAAATGTAATAAGTATATAGGAATAGAAGGAAAATGTACAGTAGGTGAAAATGGATATTGTAAAGTTAATAATTGTGAGAATGCTAATTTAAAAACAATGGAAGAATGTAAAAATGTTTAATCTTTTTGTTTGACAGATGGAACTAAATGTGTTATGGCTGATACTTGTCCAAATACAATATAAAAGATAACTTGTTTAGCAAATGATAAATGTTAATGGACAGAATCATGTGTGACTAATGAATGTAAATATTTTTAAACAAAGGGTTTATGTCTTAGACATTCATCAAATGTTGAATGTTTTTGGGATGGTTAAATGTGTGTTGAAAAATAATGTAAACAGGCTGGTTAGGAATATAGAACTAATGATGATTGTAAATAATTTCTTTCTAATTGTATTACTAATGGTTAGGGATGTGTAGATGTATCTGCTCCATGTGAAGAATATTTTGGGGATGAAGATACATGTACTTATTATAAGGGTAGTAATGGTAAAATTCCATGTCTTTATGATTCAGCTAATTAAAAATGTCGTTCAAAAACATGTTAAGATAATTTATCTGCTTAAAATTAAAAAGATTGTGATAATACTTTAGAAGGATGTAGATTTACAGGAAGATATGGATGTGTAAATGAAAATGCAGAATGTTAAGAATTCTATGGAAATTCTTAAGAATGTTATTCTTTGAATAATAGATGTTCATAAAATCTAGGAGAAACAGGGAAATGCAGATCATTAGAATGTTATGATAATTAGACAGCATTAGAAGATTATGAATGTAATTAATTTAAATCTGGATGTGTTAATAAAGGAAAGGGATGTATATCATCAACTGCTCCATGTACATAATATGTTGGAAGTACAATAGAAGAATGTTCTAAATTTATTGGAAATGGAAAGTAATGTTGGTATGATTAAGGATATCCAAGTCAATGTGTAGATAAACAATGTAGTCATAATGTTGATGCATAAGATGATTATGAATGTGATAGATTCTTATCTGGTTGTGTATTTAATAAGAAGGGATGTTAAGATTCATAATTAACTTGTGATACTTATATGGGAGATGAAGATACATGTTCAAAATATAGAGGAAATGGATTATAATGTGTAAGATTAGATTATTGTGAGGATCGTAAATGTTCAGATGTATAGAATCCTTTATCTTTATAAGAATGTGAAGAATATTTATCTTATTGTGCTTTTGATGGTGGAAATTGTATTGAGAAAACTAATTGTGAATAATATTATGGATACTCATAAGAAGCATGTTAAATTCTAGTTAATTTGGATGGTAATTTTTGTACATATAGTAATATCAATTCATAATGTACTGATCGTAAATGTAATGATGCTACAAATGTTCATTCATAATAGGATTGTACATCTTATAGAAAGAATTGTATTTTTAATGGATTAGATAAATGTGAAGAATTATAAATTAGTTGTTCTACATATAATGGTTTTACTGAGAAAGGATGCAAAGATGCAAAAAATAGTGAAGGAAAAAGATGTTGGTTTGATGGAAATGGAAAATGTAAAGAAAGAACATGTTTAGAAGAATTACCAGAATATTCAAATGAAATTTGTTAAGCACATGATTCTAGTTGTATTTATACTGGAATGAAATGTACTAAAAAATAGATAAATTGTAGTGATTATAAAACATTGAATATAAGTGAATGTAGATTTTTATCTGATTGTTGGAAATAAGAAGATAATAATAATCCTTGTTAAAATAGATAATGTAGTGATAGTGTTGAAGCTCCTTCAGATTAGAATTGTAGAAATCATTTAAATACATGTAGATTTGATGGTAATAGTAAATGTGTTGATGAAAAAGAAGAATGTACTGATTATATTAATTTTACAATGAGTGGTTGTAGGGAAGTAACAAATAAGAAAGGTGAAAAATGTTGGTTTAAAGATTAAAGTTCTAGTTGTGTAAATCGTACTTGTTCAGATAATTTACCATCATTTTCTGCAGAAGAATGTGTTAATCATTTAAGTACTTGTAGATATTATGGTAAGAGATGTTAAGATGTAAAAGATACTTGTATTCAATATATTGGATTTTCTTCAGAAGCTTGTACAACTGTAACAACAAAAACAAATTAATCTTGTTGGTATTAAGGTTAAAGTACTATTTGTATTGATGC